TAATAAAAACCACACAGAATTATTAGAAGCAACAATTAAGGGTAGAATAAGTGATGCAGCAAGATGTGGCAGAGCATCATGCAATCTAGTGACTGCCCATTACAGTTTTCAGCTTTAGACTGTTACGTGTCCCTTATCACAACAGTATTGTCACATCAGAGGCCATCTGCTTTGTGTGCTGCAACAACTCTGATTTAGTAGTTTGCAGCATGCACCATTGTGACATTTTGAAGACGTATAACCTGTCAGAATGATAAAGTCTTGGCTTCTTAAGCAACACTCTCAAAACTACTACACCCAGGACTACTCTCAAAGCTTTGTAATGTTTGATTATATATTGCCAGTCCTAACACTGATTGACTGAAATCCAATAGTAAGTCACAACTAGTATAACCCATTGAATCAATGACCCAATGAATTTGGTGACTCAGCTACTCTGAAAGTTCTACTGATTCAGTGGGCCTGCTCTAGTTGCAATTTACTATTGGGTTTCAGCCAATGTTTGTGGAGTTTTCTTTTCCCGCTTTTGAGCGACTTGGTTTGTGCTGCTATCTTCTGTGGATCAAGAGCAGAACAGGGTTCAGACTTTGGATACAGTGGGGTCTTGACTTACGAATGGCTCGACATACGAACGTTTCGACTTACAAACCGCTCTCATAGGAATATATGGACTCGACTTATGAACTTAGATTCGAGTTACGAACTCTTTTTTTCCTTTTTTAAAAATCTAAGTCATCTTAGGTTAAAAGAAAAAAAGAAAAAATATCCCCCTCTAGTGGCAGAAGGCGGAATAGCAGCTTCCCATTAGTTTCTATGGACGAAAAGAGCAGATACGGATTAAATGGTTTTCAGTGCATTCCTATGGGAAATGCAGATTCGACTTAAGAACTTTTCGACCTGAGAACTGCCTTCCAATACGGATTAAGTTCGTAAGTCGAGACCCCACTGTATATCTACAGTGACAAAAGCCTCAAAATCAAATCCATTTTGCACTCTGAGCTATAACGTTGAGGAAGCATCTATATTGCGGAGTGCCTTTGGCAAGGAATTTCTCCACAGTTCTCTTGACAGTTTTTATGTGGGCCAGTTTCAATTACTTGGATTCCTGACTGTTTGGCTATATGATATCTGCTCCAGATTTTTTTTAAAAAATAGTACTTCCAGACAGTGACAAAGAAGGAACCAGTTCTTTATGTATCTGCCTCTCCCCCCCTCACCCAGCATGTTATAATAGTAATATTTTGGGTTTTTTTTTACTATGTTTTAGAGAATGGCAAATGGAGAGAGCCTTCCAAACTGCCCTTTGGCTTCTGCAGCCAGAAATAGTTTTTATACTTGGTGATGCCTTTGATGAAGGAAAGTGGAGCTCTTCCGAGGTTAGTGCTGTGTAGATTGGTAAAGCGTTTGTAAAGCAAAAGAGGGTTGTATTGATTTATGGTATTGCATGAAAAGTAAGCCTAGGGAATGAGTAACTATTTCTAAAGCTTGATTTGATAGCTGCCCTTACTAATCAGTATTCTAATCTGTGGCCCTGCTAATTGGAGCAAGGATAGAGAGACCTGATCTTTATGGAGCCTTCTTTGTTTTTTCCCCTGGCACTCAAAGATCCACTAATCAGTGACAAAATACATGCAGTGGTGCCCCGCATAGCGATCGCTCCATTTAGTGATGAGATTGCTTTGTGATACATTTGCGATGTTCCCTATGGGGGAATTTTCCTTTGTGATGCTCGGTTGCCTACTTCGGGAACCGAGGATTGCAAAGCGGCGATTTTTAAACAGCTGATCGGCGGTTTAAAAATGGCCGATGGATAAAGAGAATGGCCGCCTGCTGTGTTTAGGGACGGATTCCTCGCTTAAGAGGCAGCGAAAACGGCCGTGCTATGGAGGATCTTCACTGAACTGTGAATTTTAAGCCCATAGGAACACATTGAAGGGGTTTCAGTGCGTTTCTATGGGCTTTTTAATATCGCATAGCGATGTTTTCGTTCTGCAGCAATTTTTGCGGAACGAATTTACGTCGCAATGCAAGGCACCACTGTATATTGAAAACTGAAGAATCCTGAGGCCAGAATATTTATATGAGAACTATAATTAAATGGAGTTCACAGTCCTTTTGCCTAACTCCATTCTTATTATTTTCTTTTTTTAAAAAGTATTCTTGATTGCAGCAGTATAACTTATGGTAGAAGAGAATAATTTTGATGTTGCTTCTGTGAAAAAACTGGGCATCAGAAATTCTTGTCTACTGCATACACCAGTGGATCGTAATCTACTTTTTCGCCACCCTGGAGCAAAGGAATGGAGATCTCTAAAATGTTGGAGCAAACTTACCTTAATTATTAGCATTTTAGATACTAAAATTAATCTCTAATTTGATTTAGATCAAATGGTGTCATTTTTATATATGGATTTGGCAAGTAAACTCATAATTGCTATATTTACAGGTACTGTGATTTTAGTAGCAGAAGTTATTACACTGGAGATACTTACTGTGCTGCCCCCAATTTCTAGAGCTCAGTTTAAGATGGTGCAAGTTGTGTATCAGCCAATTAGTTGGTCCTGGGCGGCACATATGTTAGACACCAAGAGTTCTTGTCTATAAATAAAAGAAACACTGATAGATGTTCAACACTGAAGAATACACTGATAGATGTGTTGTGAAAAGGACTCTGATTTTTTTTTCTTTCAGTTGCCATTGGAAAAATTAGTGATTTGGTGGTTGGTAGATAGTTCTTTTTAAAATCTAAAATTAGAGTTCTGCTCCAGCCCATTCTTTAGAAAACTGAACTGGGATACATAGGTAAAGGTTCCCCTTGACATTTAGTCCAGTCTAGGACGCAGTGTTCATCCCCGTTTCCAAGCGGTAGAGCCAGCGTTTGTCTGAAGACAGTTTCTGTGGTCATGTGGCCAGCGCAACTAGACACGGAACGCCACTACCTTCCCACCATGGTGGTATCTATTTATCTACTTGCATTTACATGGCTTCAAACTGCTAGGTTGGCAGGAGCTGGGACAAGTGACGGGAGCTCATTCCGTCGCATGGATTCGATCTTAGGACGGCTGGTCTTCTGAGCTTGCAGCACAGAGGCTTCTGTGGTTTAACCCGCAGCACCACCACGTCCCTCTACATAGATTAAAACAATCTGGAGATCTGTGCCAGTCACTATTGATTCAGCGTGCACAAATAAGTGAAAATGCTGTTGTGTTGACAAGTCTAAATGGTTGTCAGTCAAAAGGGGCATGAGCTGCCAGTTTGGCAATTTGTGCTGGTTTGTCCTTCAGACAAACAGGTTTTCATTGGTTTTCAGCCCTGCCTTCTCTGGTGAGCACCCACTCAGAGGCAGTGCCCAGAGGAGGTGGGGCAGAGAAGCTAGAGTGCTCCCTCTTGGGTGGGCACCTGCCAGAGGCTGGGGACGACGAAACACTTAGTCATCCAAAGGATGAACTGGCATGAACCACTGAACCAGTGGTTCATGCCCATCTCTACTTGTGAGATTCAGTATTTTGTTAGTACAGTAGTAGTATCGGATTAGTCTACAGTCCAAAGAAGGAAATAATGACTTAATCCAACCCCTTGTGTTAATGAAGAATGCTGGATCAAAAATATTGGGATACTGAGTTTCATAATGGAAATTCAAGGGAATTTCCAGTATTTGCATTACTGTGTATGTGTATTGCATGTACTTTCTGTCCTCTGAAGGAGGGCTAGGGAACGTGTTGCTTCATAGTAGAGATGGGGGTATTCGCATATGAGTACAAATACCCCCGCACAGCTGTAGTTAATAAGTGTCTGGCCCTGTGACTGGGCCATCCACTTATGTGTCCACTGCTGGCGCCAGCCCTGCTCTTCTTTCCAATCGCTCTGGAGCACCCGATCAGCTAGCCACTCGTCAACCTTGCAGGGAGAGTAATCTCCCTTCCTCCTGCCAGGAGCAGCTGGTCAACCGGGCGCTCCAGAGTGATTGGAAGAGCAGGGCTGGCCACAGTGGTGGACGTGAGTGCCCAGCTGTGGGGGGGTATTTGTATACGAATACCCCCATCTCTACTTCACTGCCATTCAGTTCCTATGAATGCCTGTCAGTGTGGCAAATGATATAATAAGCGTTGTAGCTCGACAGCTTCTGGAGGCCCACAGATTACCCAATCTCATTCTAAAGCCTCTGTGTGAATTTAATTGCAGTAAGGATATTGTAGGTGTTCTTAACAATGTTCTTAACTAGTTTGTACTAATGATTGCTGTCATATTACTTTCAATAACAGTTACAAATGGAGTAGCAACATGAAGCAATCTGTACTCAGTAACAAAATTTTATAGCCATTTAAATTGTATTACACGCTTTTAAAAACCTTTACCCATTTTCCTGCAGGCCTGGTCAGATGACGTAAGACGCTTTCAGAAAATGTTCAGGCATTCAGCGGACACCGAGCTGATCGTTATAGTTGGCAATCATGACATAGGCTTTCATTATGAGTGAGTATTTTTAAATTTTATTTTTTACTGAGAGGATTCAGTGCCAAGGCTAGAATGGCCATCGCAAACCCTGTGTTAAAATATAATGAGTGATGCTGCTCCAACAACGCAAAACCACCCAAACTGCTTGTCCTGTTTTCTCTACTTTTTTTCCCCTGCTCCCAGCACATGTAGAGGGCCCGTGGAGGCTTGTCTAAGCTTCTGAGCTAACATGCTTCAGCCAGTTGGAAGAAACCATGTACTGTTCTGCCCTGGTGAAGTGCTTAAAGGCAAGTCTCTGTATGTAGCGATTGTGGATTACAGCTGTGTTCAAGTTATTTTACTGTTGAAGAGTTTTGAGGCAAAACTGCTTTCGTTGTTGTTATGTGCTATCGAGTTGCATCTGACTCATGAATGAGCGCTCTCCCATAATGTATTTTCCTCAGCTGTCCTGCTCAGCTCTTGCAGACTTAAGCCTATGGTCTTGAGAGTCAGTCCATCTCATATGTGGTCTTCCTCTTTTCCTGCTGCCTTCTACATTTCCCAGCATTATTGTCTTTTCCAGAGGATCCTGTCCTCTCGTGATGTGGCCAAAGTTGAACAGCCTCAGTTTCAACATTTTTGCTTCCAGAGATAGTTCAGGCTCAATTTGTACCTTAAAACTGTCTTGTTATATTTTTTCACAGGGCTTGTTCTGTCTCCTTTTTGTGCAGTCCTAACCAGTTAAGAACTGTATTATGAATGTAATGTCACAGAGTCTTACAGCTAACCAGATCTGATTACCTAGTGACTTCACTTGACTCCTGCTCATTTCCATAGAGGGTCCAATCAAAAGTGCATTTGGAGACATGTTCTCTTATTTGCTGTGCTGCAGCAGCCTGTTTGCTACAGTATGATAAAAGAAGAGAGCATCAGACTTTTAATTGAGGCCTCATCTATCTCCCATTCCTGAAAAAGTATCTTAAAATGTGTTGTGGTGGTGAGCAAATTAGGAAGAAAATAACTTTTTGAGGGTTCTGGATTGGTTTGCACGAGGGCTTCACATTGTGAAAATACCCCAGTATTCTGCTTTTTATGATACGATAAAGCTTTTACATAGAGCAGGCACAAACAAAGCAAAGAGGTGTTTGCTGGCAAGCATGGTGAAATAAATAAATAGGTCCTCTTCCTCATTTTGCTTTACAACAACAGTGTGACTTTGGTTGGGCTAAGAAAGAGTGACTATCCTGAAGTCACCTGGTGAGATTCTTGATCAAGTGGAGAGTTGAAGGTGGGTGTCTCAGGTCTCTGACGAACATTCTTCACCACCATAGCACGTTGCACACTGAACCCTACTCTAGAGGATGCTGTATATCCTATATGCTGTGCTGCCATGAAGTGGGATGATTTTGTTTTAAACTGCTGTTTGAACATAGACCACTAGATTAGTTATTGGTTCAGTCACCACTGAAAGGTATGTATAATCAATTCTAAATTAAGTGTGCTAATTAATTATTATTGCTCATAGAATGACTGCATTCAAACTGGGACGTTTTTTGAAAGTTTTCAATTTCACTTCAGAAAAACTGATAACTCGGAAAGGAATAAAGTAAGTACAGCTTTTTTTAGTTTATTGGCATCTTGTAACATCTATTAGTACTATGTATCTTGGTATATACAAATGGCAGTTACTTTCACTATGGTTGAATTTTTTCTTGTAATCATGCACCATCAATTTGTTTCCATCTTTTGGAGACCCTATGAGTGAATAACCTCCAGAAGATCTAATATTAGTGGTCCTGCTTGGCTCTTGTGAACTCAGTGTTGTGAGCTACTTTATTGGACAATCCAATGTTAGATCTTCCTCTTTTTCCGTTGACTATCACTTCTTCTTTGTGGTCTTTGTGAATGCACACAATTCGGTTGTTCTGCGCCTGCGCAGGACCTCTCGGAAGTTTCTAGAGCTTAAGATAATTGATTAGTGGGACATTTCCCCGTGGAGCGCATGTTCCGCCCACTTAAAATCCCCTCAGTTCCTTTTAGCCGCCACTTCGGTTGGACCTATTTTGGAATGTTAGAGCGATTGTATTTTGTGATATCATTCCTTTATTTTTCTTCTTCAATCATCTCTTTTGTTGGATGTTTCCCCTGTATATTCTACGTTCTCCCCTTTTAGATTATCCAAATCTTTTTTTCTTCTTCCCATGATTTTATCTCCCTGCCGCCTCCCCCAACTACCTCTCCCTTCCCCCTTTTCCTACCCTCCAGGGCCTTTCAAGTGGTTTGTGCTCTGTACGAATAAGATCCCGCTCACTGATGGTCATGACTGTTGCCTCTTTTGCCTCGGAGAGCAACATCAAACATACTCTTGCTCTGAATGTAAAAAACTTACTAAACCCGCTCTTAAACAGTGACTACAAAAACTTTGTACCTCTGGGAAAACTTTCTTAATCCAAATCCCATGGATCCGGTGATATCTCCACATCCGGAACATCGAGAATCCCCTCGGCTGGTTTCAAGCCCTACAACTCCTTCCCCTCGTCAGAAGGACCATTTGAAGTTGGCTTTGAAATCGAGCTCGGTGTCCCTAGCGAAAACTCCAACCTGTCCTGATGACTCTTCTAAGAAAAAGATAAAGCTAAGCCTAAAACGACCAAGAAACCTTTGAAATCAACTGATATAGACCCACCCCAATCGGTACTCCCATCTCCGATCCTTGAACAGTCATCTAGAGATGCCTCTATCTCTGATAGAGATGACCCTAATTTGACACTGGCTCAGGATGCAGCCTCAGTTGTTAGCCTCTCGTCGAGCACTGGCCTGTCTCTGGCTGATGTTTATTCCAGCCTGGCCTTGGCCCATTCAAGCCCTAGATCACCAGGGCGGGCAGTACCTATTCAGGTCTCTGATTGGAATTGTCTCATCACTCTCCCTGCAAACACCCGCAAAAGAGATGACATCTCTCGTCTGTGCACCATGATCTTCCGCATAGGGAATTCTACTACTATCCCGAGCCAGCTCGCTACTCAGCCAGAGATTATTATGGGGATCCATACCATCGTTACAATCCCTTCTGTCATGAGGATCCGACTGAACATGTCTATTAAGATGAGCCCAAGAGAGTGAGATATGTTTGTCCACCTCGATGTTCACCCTTCGTATCACCCTCACCACCTCGACCTTGACATCGTTCTCCTTCTGCATATTTGACATCAACCCACCATGTGTTGATCCCTACTAAATCAGCTCTCAAACAAACTCTCCCTCCCCCATTTTCTCCAACTCAGTCTAAATGGACCACTTTTCCAGACCATCCCGTATGACTCTCCATGTCACTGCTACTTACAAAGGACCCCCCCTCCTCCTGACATTGAACAGTCTCCCATACCACACCGGCCTCCAAGTCAACACCTGCCGCCACCATTACAGACGTCAGCATCGGCAGTTAGACCTACACATCGATCACCATCTTCTGAATCCTCTCTGTCTGTTCAAGATTCCTCTTCTGACGCTTCTCAAGAATCACCCTTGAACTTGCCTATCCCCTCTTCTGACGTGGCTGAAACCCACCCGCCTTCTCCATCAGAGGATTTCACATCCTACTCCCAGCTTGTCATGTGAATGGCAGAATCCCTGGAACTAGATGTTGAAGAACCACCGCCTCAGAAAAAGGACTTGGTCTTTGATGATCTAAATCAAGACAAGACACCCCCTCTTAGCCTCTCATTCATTCCTGCAATGCTCAGGTTGGTTAAAGAATCATGGGATAAGCTCCATTATTGCAAATTTCGAGATGCGTTGAGAATCATTATAACACCCATGGTCATAAAGCTTTTCTCTTTAAATATCCCGCACTCAACTCAATCATAGTAGAATCTAATCAATCAAGAGCATGAAAAAAAACTTTGGTAGCCTTTCTCGGGCTCATGGCTTCCACGACCACCGTTATCCAACATGCTTGGCTGAAAATGAGGTCCCTCCAGTCATGGTATCTGTCACTCTTCGATCCCATGACAGACTTCCTGTCCAAACTTCTCGTAGTAACGTATGAGCTTGCCCATTAGCTCACCTGGTGGATGTTTCTTCCACATCTACTTGTCAGAAGACCTTTTCTACCACTTCAGCTCACAATACAAAGTCATCACCGATGGCAGCCCGTTGGGCTGGGGGTCACATTGTCAACATCACAGAATCCATGGTCTCTGGACAAGACAAGAACAGTTATTATTCATAAACCACCTTGAACCTTTAACAATCATCATGGCTTTTCGCGCCTTTTTACCAATCATCGCAGGGCAAGCTGTAAAACTAGCTACAGACAATACAGCCCTTTATTATGTGAACAAACAGGGAGGCACACACTCCCTCTCATTACGATACCTGGTTGTCAAGCTTTGGGAGTGGTGTTACCTACACCACATTTTCCCAGTAGCAGTACACATCTCCACAGACGACAGTCTACTCGCAGACCATCTCAGTCACCTCAGCACACGAACACATGAGTGGTCATTGGACGACAACATTTTCAATCTCTGCCACTGGTGGGGTGTCCCGTCCATCAATGTCTTTGCTTCCAAGACCAACGCCAAGTGTCACTGATATTGCTCCTGTGCCAGTACCAGCAAGAACTCACTCAGAGATGCTTTTATGATAGATTGGAACGATGAGTTCCTCTACCTCTTCCCTCCGATACCACTCATTCAATGCACCATCCTTTGGCTTTGTCAGTTTCGCTCAAATGCCATACCTCTCACCCTGTGGTGGCCACAACAACCATGGTTCACCCACCTGAGGTCAATGTCGACAGACATCTTCCGTTTCCTCTCAATACCCAATCTTCTCACCCAGGACAATGGGAAAGTTTACCATCCAGACATAGACTCTCTGATTCTGACAGCGTGGAGAATACTCCCGCCATAAGAGACATACTTGATCGAGCTTGAAAACCTTCGACCCAACTTCTATATCAGAATAAATGGAAGGTTTTTCCTATCCTTTGCCAGCTCGCACAACTTACCTGCAATCCCTGTTTCTTTGAGGACTGTATTTACCTTTGTCCTTCATCTCTTTCATCTCGGACTATCTCATTCTACCCTGAAGGTTTATATATCTGCTATTGTGGCGCACCAGCCACTTCATTCTGATTCCACTAAACTTTTTTCCAACCAAACTTTGAAAAAATCCTCAAGGGACTCCAAAATATTCACCCAGCACGTCAACATCATCTTCCACAGTGGACCTTGCAACTTGTCCTCAATGCACTTACTCAACTGCCTTTTGAACCAATGGGTACTGTCAATTTTAAATTACTTTCACTGAAGACATTGTTCCTCATAGCAATAACATCTGCTAAACGCGCTAGCGAACTTGCTGCCCTCAGATCCGACCCACCTTTCCTCCAGTTTCACCCTCTATCTTGATGTATCGTTTTTACCTAAAGTTGTCTCTGAATTTCATCTTAATCAAACATTGATATTACCTACTCTGTTCCCTTCTCTTACACCACTTGAGCGCATGCTCCACATGCTTGACGTAAGATGCTCTCTGGTCTTCTACATTGATAGGACGAAATCATTTAAAAAATCACCACAACTTTTTCTGTGTTTCCATGGCCCTCATAAAGGTGCTCCAGCCTATCTCTCGATGGATTATTCAAATTATCTCACTGGCATATGAATTGACGGGCAAAACGCTGCCTGAACATCTGAAAGCTCACTCTACTAGAGTGCTGTCCACCTCTTTTGCACTTCACCGTGGAGTTCAGCTTCCTTACATCTGCCGTGCAGCTACATGATCTAATCCATCGACCTTTGTGAGACATTAGCGTCTTGATATTCGGGCGAAAAATGATGCTGCTTTTGGCAGAGCTGTTTTGACTTCGCTTCTACTGTGACGTCCCACTATTCGGTAAGTGAGCTTGCCAGTCACCCAATTGTGTGCATTCACAGAAACCGCAAAGAAGAAAGAGAAGTTACCTACCTGTAACCATGGTTCTTCTAGTGGTCATCTATGAATCCACCAATGCCACCCATCCTCCCCTCTGTCCGTCACATTGTTTTTTAAAATAGATCTTTGAGAGCGGCGGACTCTTTCAGGAACTGAGGAGACTTTGGGTGGGCGGAGCATGCGCTTCCCGGGGGAACATCCCACTAATCAATTATCTTTAAGCTCTAGAAACTTCTGAGAGGTCCTGCCCAGGCACAGAACGACACAATTGTGTGCATTCACAGAGGATCACTGAAGAACCATGGTTATAGGGAGGAAACCTCTCTTTTTTCCTGCATTGGTGTCTTTTCTAGTATGTTTTAACTTCTCATGGTACATCCAAATTGGAATAGCCTCAGTTTGCCTCTGCTGAGATTATAGGCTTGAGTTGATCTAGAACCCAGTTATTTGTCTTTCTTGCGGTCCTCAGTATCCTGAAAGCTCTCTTCTATCATTGCATTTCAAATGATTTTTTTTTTCATTGTCCAGCTTTCAAATCCTCACATTATAATCAGGAATATCATATTGTGGATGATCTTTGCGTAGGTCCCCAATGATGCATCCTTACACCTGAAGGAACTATTCTGGTTAGTTCTTAATTGCCCTTCTGATTCTCAGCCTTCTTCTGATATCTTGGTTAGGTTTTTTATATTGATAATTTAACAAAGGTATAGAAGATTTTTAACAATTTCAATTTCTTCACTGTTGTCATTGGTGTTATGTAATTCTTCTGCAGATACCATTTTTGTCCTCTAAATGTCCAGGTGTAATTCTGCATTTTCATTTTTTTCTTTTACCTTCATCAGTAGTTGTTTCAAGTCATTGTTATTTCCACTAGTAATCTGATATAATTTATAGATGTTCTTGATATTTCTTCCACCAATTTTCACTCCTCCTCTATCTGAATCTAATGTAGCCTTCCATGTATTCTGGGCATAGATAGAACAGATAGGGGGTGTTTGCATTTATCTGATACTTTTTATAACTGGAAACTGTTTTGCCTCTCCATATTTTATCCTAGCAGCAACTTCTTTACAAGAGGATAGGTTATTCATCTAGACAATCAAATGTTGTGGCACACCATTTTTTTTTTTAGAATGATCCACGTCTTCTCATTCTTAAAAGGCATGAAATCAAAGACATGATTGTAATTTGTATAGCACAAATTCATTTTCTTTTGAAACTCTTTTGTACCTTCTAGTAACCAACATATGCAATATAATTTATAGTGTCTCTTTCCTGAATCCAGCTTGAACATTTCTTACTCCATAATAAAAGTTTTTGTTGTAAAATCTTGAGCATCACTTTGTTTGCATTAATGCAATAGTGCTGTGGTAACTGCAGTCTTTGGCCTCTCCTCTTAGGGAGTAGAAAGTATATTGAATCTTTCTAGTTTGTTGTCCATTGCTTTGTTTTCCATATTTGTTTGCATACCCTTGTTCAGATTTTGATAGATTGTTTCCATAGTTTTCTGGTACTTGTGAGTGGGTTCTACATTATCTTTGGGTATTTCTCTTTCAGGTGATACAAACGAGGATACGGAATTGCTAAATAAAGAATTTTTATTAACAGAAATATTTAAATCTTCTTTGTCACGTACAACAGAACTTTGAACTGTTAACTGGGGAGGGGAACTCTCCCAAAACCACAACAATGACTTTTCCTCATTTAAGTCTTTTAATAATAGGTTCTTGCTCTTTTCTCTTCCTCTGACGGTTGCCTCAGAAAGTTGTTGCGAACCGCACACAAGGTCCCACAACATGAGTGGCGGACCCATTCTCCCTCTCTCAAGACTTCTCTCTCTACTTCAGGCGGGATGTGGTGTACCAGTCGGGCAGGACCTTGGTTCCTCGGGTATACCAGCACGGTCAGTTCTTTGGGGCTTAGTCCGGGGATAATGGGTCGTATTTTGTTGGCGGCACGGCTTTCGTCTTCTTCAGTTATTGGGCTCACTGCAGGTCTTTTTACAGGAACCGAAAAGATCTGAGCATGTCTATCCGTACCATCTCTCTAAACACCGTCACCTTTTCTGTTTCTTTAGAGATCGCCCCTTCTTCCATGGTCAAAAATATATCTACTTTCTCCCTTTCACGGTACACCTGTCTTTTCACTCCTGCTCTCTCTAAACGTCTCAACTGCCTTTCTTTTTCACGCGCTCCTTCGTCTTGAGCTCTTTCTAACTTCACCGCGCGACTTTCCTCTAACTCCTCTGCTTGACTCTCTGTCTCGGGTTTCCTTGATATCTTTGTTTCTAGGCTAATTATTTGAGGGGACGGCTCACTCTTTGATGGTTCCTTAGTCTCCTCCTCACGATACTTTATTTCTTCCACTTCAGTTTCTAAAATAGTATGAAAGAATCTATCACACTTACATTTCTCCTATTAGTTCTTTTGTATTTTTCTCCCATCTTCTTTTATCTGTTCTGATCAGATACTACATACCATGGCTGATCTTTCAGCATCCCTGTTCAAGTGTTAAATTTCCCTTTGATTTCTTGGATTTTTTGGAACAGATTCATTTTTCTTTCCCAAGTAAGTGTCTGAAAACTTATATTTAACATTCTGACCTTACTTGTGTCATCTTTTACTTTTGCTTCTTATCTGTCATTAATAATTTTAAGAGTTTTGTCAGTGATCTATCAAGGTTTTTCTCTTCTTTTGACTACACAAATAGATCTTAGCCATATGTATAACAATTTTTTTAGCCTCTGTAACTGGAGACTAGATTTGAATTATACCAGTAGGTATGCTGATAGGGTGTTCACTGAAGTCTGAACCATCTTGTTGGTGGTGAGTTTTGGAAATTAAAGACGTCCCCCCAGTCTCACAGCCCCCAACAACTTTTCCAGGATGAATGGGATCTTGAGGGATCTCTAAAATCTGTGGGAAGGGGACTGGAAACTTTTTATTCCTGAAAAATGATTGCGGCTAAGATAATCAGCCTTATGTGGTGTAACTTTATGCTACTGGATTTCAGCCACTGGATAGAACTTTTTAAAAACTGTAGAATTAAAAAGAAGATGGTATGTACAGGCCCACCCCTAATAGTGATACTGAAGAATAAAGCACAGTAATGTGTTTAACTATTGTGGTTTTTTAAAAAAAATGCAGCCTCATTCTGATTCAGGAGAGCCAGGCACCCAATGAGCTTGTCATTGAGTGAAATGCACGGGGATGGGGTGGGGGTGGGAATTTTTTTTTTAGTCGTTTGGCCAGAATTATGTTGCTGACTTACAGATGTGTAAGTTAAATAGCAGAAGTCATGATATGGTCCTCTTATTAGATGTGTACCTTGTAATGAGACTAGCACTTATTTGTATTATTATTATTGTTGTTGTTGCTGCTGCAGTTGTTATTGTTATTATTCAAACATTTATAGCCTACCCTATATCACGGGATTTTAGGGTGGGTTGCAAAGCTGTATAAAACAATTTAAAAACATAAGATCTTTATTAACTATTTGCTGCAGCATATTACGCCATTTAACTTATGCACACAATAAGTCACCAGTAGGTTTGTAGTATCTGTGTATTGTTACCAAACTTATGGCATTGCACAGAAAAGGCTCCTCAACAAAGCATTTACAGTGATTTTTAAATAAAAAATCATAATGGCAAAATGGTATTTTCTGATTTCAGCAGATGCTGCATTGCAGTCGAAGTGCATAGTTAGAATGGAATGCAAGCACCTATGCCTTGCCAGTTTTTCTTTTGACCATAAGCTATGTCATGTGGGATTTAGATTAGTTGTGCCTGGAGTTAGGTCCATTGGAATCAAAGTTAGTTACCCAGACCAGAGTCCTGTTTATAGAATTGTGAGAAGATTATCATGTTAGAAGCCCCCACCCCCGCAGACTCTTCTTGTTGTCACTTGGGCACTGGATGTGAAGTAGAACATGCAACTACCAATAGCACAACGGACAGCTAGGACTGAAGGAGAAAATCTGCTGTGCAGTTGCTGATATGTGCGTGCTTTTTGCCCTGTGTACATGTTCCATTGTTTCTCTTCTTATACTTTCAGCTTTGTTACAGTAAACAGCATTGCTCTGGAAGGTGATGGCTGTATGATCTGTAAAGAGGCAGAAGCAAAGCTAACTGAACTCTCTCACAGACTCAACTGTTCTTTGCAGGTAAGGTTGTTATTTAGCTCATTCTAGGTCCTGCAGTGCAATGAAGTGGTCCATTGGGATTTTTTTACTCAGATTCTAATTTGTGGCTCTTCTGAGGCGTGTCTTATTTTCCAAGATAGTACTGCTAAACAGAGTAGGCAGAAATTAGATTTTTGGGTCACAACTCCCAGAATTTCTAGCCATAATGGTAACATTTTGAAAAAGAGTGCTACATTTCATAATTACTCAATTATTTAAAAAACCTTCAGTTTATGAATGTGGGCTATTGTGTATCTGTACCCACTACTTAAAATGCCAGGAAACGGCCTGATATTGCTGCACAATATTGTGTCCGCATTGCCAGCAGGAAAAAGTTTCTGAACAATTATTCTTTCTGGCAAGGTTCTACTGAGCATGCTCAAAAGTTATGAAGTGGCTGCTTTCTTGTTTAAAGGAGCCATTTTAGGTTATCAATTTAAGTGGTTTTTTCTACAACAGCTGAATGGATTTGCTTTAAATAAAAAAGGGGTTAAGATAATTGCTCTCCTTTTAGAATAAAATTTTTAGTTGTAACACACATCAACAGTTTCTTACTTGCTGACAAAAATAGGTCACCAGCATCTGCCCAGGGGTATAAATCATGCCTATACTTAAAAACTCGTAACTTTAAAGTGGTTTGACCAAACACCATCCATTTGGCATAGAGCAGGAGCAGACTGTCCTCTCCCACTGTGCCGGATCTGGTGCTGATCTGGAGCTCGGTTTTAAAGTTAGAATGTTTTGTTTGTACTGCCACCCTTTTTGGATTTGCCTTTGCTTCACTGGCAAAATATCATCAAAGTTTGCCCATGCTCTGATAATGTACTATCAAGATGATTTTGAATTATAGTGATTCTCTTAGGGTTTTAAAGTATAAAGCAATCAGGATTGGTTTACAAGTGCCTATTTCTGGTGACATTCTGTGATGTGGCAGCTTGCCAGAGACCACATCGGTGGCATGAAACTTAATCCATTACTGGAAATGTGGGGCATACAAGTCCCACCTGTGCAACTTTGGGCAAGTTATATGGAGGGACTGGTAAACTACTTCAGTGTGCTTTATAACAATAAAACCGTGGGAGGGTTGCCATAAGTTAGAATCAACTTAATGACATACAGTTTCAATTTCGCGCAATATCTCTTATGAAGTTCAGTTGCTCCAGAGTGCACAGAGTCCTTTTGTCTTCAGTGCTGCTTCTTTTGTATGAAAATGTACTAGTTGGAAAGCTTCATCCTCCACTGAAGTGTACGAGAATGCCTTTCTTGGCCAAGTATCGGTGGGAGTGTTATGGAAACTCACAAAAGATTATGGAATTCCAGTATGTCTATTATAGCGGTAGCTGCAAATTCATTGTTATGATTGCTGTTCCATCTGAGCCTAGATTGCTTCTGTGTGACCACACCTTTAGGTATAAAAAACTAGAGCAGTGTTTTGAATCTGATGAATTCCAAAGTTTATCCCACACAAGATATAATGTTGGAGGGCAGCTTGTCTGACTTTGCAGAGCATCACCAGTTTTGTATTCAGCATTCTGTTGATAGAAGCTCAAGTGGCCTCTGTTACACAGTGCTTTTCCAGTGGATTATGCTGGTGCACTGGATAGATTCTCATTATCAGAGGTAGCTTTGGAAGGGCTAGCTCTTCCTTAGGCATACCTATCCAGATCTTACAATTGAACTATACTTTGTGTGAGGAAGATCTTTCAATCCTTGGAGATCTGTGAGCTCCTTTTGGGAGCTAATCCCTCTGTCAGGGCAGATGACCATTGCGCCATACTGTCAATGTGTTCATAATGGCTGTGGTCAGTTTAACATCTAAGGGCTAAGGTCGGTGAAGAGTCTCTTTGAACTTAGTTAGTTAGATCCTTTGATGGGTAGACACATAATGTGATCTTGGGGGCCATTGTCAAATCCTTACCAGCTTGGTAGAACCTGTCAGAAATTGTACTTCCCCCAAGTAATCTTGCAGACCCTAGAGTCACCACCATGCCATGAGATGGTGGTGGAGGAAAACTTCATAGAGGTTGAGAGAACATAAGTAGCACTAGAAAGTGATGCTTCCAGATTAACCGTGATCAGCTTTGGAGATAATATCTTGCCTATGTTTAAATGGTTAAAGTGGCTCTTGTTTTATTTTTTGGCCACAAATCAAAATTCTGGTGATTATTTATAAAGCACTCATCTGAGACCAGCGTTCTGCTACGCAAACCTTGTGGTGTTCTGCAGAATTTTTTTCTGTTCCTTATCCAGGTGATGGGAGAGATGCCTTTAGGAGCCTCGTTTGTGGAGTGCCTTGGAGCTTATTTGGGCACCAGATTGGATGTCATTTCATAGAATCATAGAGTAATGGAGTTGTAAGTGGCCTGCGAGGCCATTGAGTCCAATCCCCGGCTCAATAAATGAATCCAAGTTAAGAGTATGTCTGACAGATACCTAATTTTCACTTGAATGCCTCTGGTGTTATATAACTTGCCACCTCCTGAGGAACTGATTCCATCGTCATACTGCTGTAACAGTTAGGAAGTTTTACTGTTAGAGCAGTATGACAGTGGGACCTTGGGAAGTGGTGAACTCCGCAACACTGGAGGTGGTGAGCTCTCCAACTCTTCAGTGCCAAACACTGACATTTCTTTTGACTTGTTCTGTTGCCTGAATCACATATTTTGCTCCTGGTTTTTTATTCATTGTCGTATGTGTGTGCTATTACTTTTTTGTCAGCCAAACTGACTGTTTTACAGAAAGGTGTTAACAAAAAAAGTTCAGATAAATAAAGCTTCAAGGTCTTATGGTTTTCCACAGGCTACCTAGCTGTAAAACATTTGCCATCTAAATCTGAGTTCCTTTTACATGGTAAGTGCATTTGCTTTTTGGAAGTTCCTGGTTGAAGGCTAGGACACAGCCATTATCCTGTCATTTCCAGGATTGGACATTCTTATCTCTGATGTTTTCCTTGAAAACCATGGAAACAGTCCTTCTGTTTGCTCTTGTGTCATCTAGAATGTTTACAAGATGTGTATAAAAGGCTGTTTGATTTTTGTTGACAGGATCAAAGCCAATACCAAAAAAGGTGCAGTGGTGTAGACATCCCTCCAGCTTCAGCTCCAATTCTGTTACAGGTGTGTTGGGAAATCGTGGTAGATTTGGGATATATTTGCACTTTATGTAGCATACATGCATTAGTGGTGCCATAATGAAGGGTTTGATTTTTGTTTGAATTCCTTTCAGCATTATCCTCTGTATAGAGAAAGTGATTCAAAATGTACAGGAGATGATTCTGCTCCTCCAGATAAGAAGAATGATCTCTTCAGAGAGAAATACGATGTCCTTTCTCGGGAAGCTTCCCAGAAGGTATGTTTTATGTGTATACAGTGGTGCCTCACTTAGCGATGTTAATTCGTTCTGAAAAAGTCGCTGCTAAGCGATAACATCACTAAGCGAAATAAAAAAGCCCATAGAAATGCATTAAAACGCGATTAATGCGTTCCTGTGGGCTTAAAACTCACCTTTGAGCAAAAATCCTCCATAGCGCCGCATTTTTCGGTGCCTCTAAAGTGAGGAATCCATGCCTGAAAACAGCAGGCGGCCATTTTGTTTACCCGGCGGCCATTTTGAAACCTCCAATCAGCTGGCCGAAAATGGAGGCTTTGCGATGATCGCTTCCCTGCGATCATCGCAAAGCAAAAATAGCCCATAGGGACCATCGCAAAGCGATCGCTTTTGCGATTGCAAAAACATTGTCGCAAAGCGATTTCGTTGCTAAACTGAGTGATCGCTATGTGAGGCACCACTGTAATCAGATGCCTTACATCTGTGCTTTTCTCCTTGTTTTTGAATATATGCAGGCCATCTTTACAGGCAGATAGTCATCTCTCCCATCACCTGGATAAAGAACAGTCCCTCTTCTACCCCACACATTCCTTCATGCTTTACATCAGGTGTGGGCAACAGGTGCCTGTGGGTGGCATGCTTCCTCCCCTGACCCAAATACACACCTCTCCCAAATTTTTAATTTAATACTTTTAAATATAGCTGAGAAAGTCCTTATAGTGCAAACCATGGTGATCTTCTCATGGCTGTTTTAATAGTCTAAAAATAAAAATAGGGGCAACTAAGAGCCACTTGAAACATGGCAATCCCCCACACCCTCAAGAGGGTAAAACTTTTAGTCCTTTGCTGATTTGGGAAAGCCCCAGGCATTAATCTGGTAGCTAGAAAAACCAGCAGGCTGATACTTTCCTACATTTGCAAGGCCATCTTGGTTCCTAAAGTGAAGATGCTCTGCAGAAAACGAAGAAGACATCAAGCATTAGGAGAATAGTACAGTGGTGCCCCGCTTAACGCTTACCCCCGCTTGACGATGAATCTGCTTCACGATAAAGTTTTTGCGATCCCTTTTGTGATCGCAAAACGATGTTTAAATGGGTTTTTTTCGCTTTGCGATGATCGGTTCCCTGCTTCGGGAACTGATTCTTCGCATTACGACGATCAAAAACAGCTGATCGTCGGGTTTCAAAATGGCCACCGGGTGTACAAAATGGCTCCCCGCTGTGTTTAGGAAGGCTTTTTCGCAAGAGAGGGAGCAGAAAATGGCCGCCCTATGGAGGATCTTCGTGGGAGGGTGTTATTCAGCCCATTGGAACGCATTGAACGGGTTTTCAATGCATTTCAGTGGGATTTTTTATTTCGCTTGATGAGGATATCGCTTAACAGCGATTTTGCTGGAACGGATTATCCTCGTCAAGTGAAGCACCACTGTACTGTGGAACTCCCTTATGGATGTATCTTTGTTGGAAACAGATGCTAGTGTAGTGAGGCCTGCACATCCTTCGTATGTAACCATTTTAGGCATATTGCCTGCAAGCTGACAGAAGAGTGCTCTGAAAACAGTTATGAGGAAAGTCAGATCATCATGTTTTATAGCTCCACCGTGTAAGCTTCACCTCTTTTCAAATTTTGGCTAGTGTCAGCATCAACGCTGTCTTGTAAGCAACATCTCTATCAAGAGAGCTCTCCGCTAGATTAAAAGGAATGCTCTGAGAGAAACAAGAGAATCTTTCTCTCTTAAATATCCCTCTTCCTGTCGCAGTATGAGATCTAAGGAAGATTTTGTATGGGTAAAGAATGTTGCCATTATCTCTTGCAGGGCAGAGGGTGCCATAAATGCTAGAAGAACTTACATAAACCTTTCCTGGGCTAAGAATAGAACTGGAAGCTTTCTGTCTCAGAAACATTTGTGGAGGCTGTTTTAAAAAAAATCAGCAGATGCCACAGCAAAAAATAAAAAATAAATAAAAAACCAGCTCCAGCATACTGTTATGCAAGGGTGAAAAACTATGCAGTTGTTAAATTTCATGTAAGGTAGTAATTGAGCCCTTTGGGGTTTATTATCCCAGCACTGTTTTTTTTTAAGTTTCAGCACTGTGCATAAAGGAAAGGGTCCTGCTGATGTTTAAATCTTACATGCAAGCAAGAACCCATATTTTCCAGGGCCAACATGTAGAGCCTACATACAAGCAGTTCCCTTCAGCTCTTCAAACCCACCACTATGAACTGAAAAACAAGTCTAAACTGTCATTCACAGCATTGAATTGAACAGTGTCTGCATAGGACTTATGTTGCCATTTTTAGGAAGCTTTGTTAATTGACAAGCAGTATAGTATTCTCTCTAAGAACTAACATGCCCAGGTGGCATTGCAACAGGCAGTGAGGCCTAGAATGCTATACAGCCCCTTAGGCCTTAACCGTGTGCTGGTCAGTAAAATGAAGATATCTGCAGATATGGGTCTGTGGTTTGAAACTACCAGGGGAATTCTGGGAGTCAGAGTCCAAAAAACAACAAGCCACAAATGACACACCTCTGTTGTCTCTGATAAAAAGCTATGTTAAGCATTCGGCTCAGCTCTGCTTCTAGTTCATGGGGATCAGGGATGGATTGTATTCATTATCTGAAAGCATTATATGTATGTGTGTATGGATATAACCTGAAATAAAATAGCACTATCTTAAAATAAATGAAGTAGAAGCTTGAATGCAAAATACAAATGTCAGGTGTTTTCTTCAAACATTTCATTAACTGTACTCTCCATTATAGCTGTTATGGTGGTTTCATCCTCGACTGATTCTGAGTGGTCATACACACAGTGCCTGTGAAGTGCTGCATAATAGGAGAACTCCCGAAATCAGTATTCCATCATTCAGCTGGAGGAACAGAAACAATCCTAGTTTTATAATGGTAAATTTAAATAGTTTTTATTTTGTCAGATAATTTTTCATAATATAAATCAGCATAGCAATCAGCGATTTTCTCAGACTGATGCTGCCTATAAAAAAGCAAAACAAAACAGCTCCTCCCATTCTCTCCAAAAGTACACTTAAGTTGAGTACAAAGCACCCACTTTATAAAGCACATACGTGGGGAGCCATCCAGCTTGTATAGTGCAAAGAATTGTCGGTTTTACAGCAGTTTCTAAATACAAGCATCTTTAGTATGTTTCTATAAAGAGGATGCAGTGTAAACAATTTGACTGAAACAATCATTGGTAGTCCGCAACATACAGTATTAAGACTTGTTTTTGCTTGGCTGATTTATCCTCAAGACCGGATCTTTCAACACGATTCTTTTGTCTATCAAAAGTGCAAACTATTATATATCTCATAGGGTTGCAAATTCTATTCAGATGAGCCTAATTGATTTTTGGTTACTTTGCGTATACTAGATCACAACTCTTAACAGACTAGCCTGCCTTTAAAACATGTTTCAGTATTTGTCTTCCAAAACCACTTCTATACTAACTTTACTTTTTCAGCCTTCTGTGCATGGGAAAAAGGCAAAGCAATTATAAGTTTCTTTAGTGACTGTTTAATAGTTTGCAGCCATATGTTCTTGTTCCCTTAGCAAGTAACAGTGTTAAATAATTTTGCTTGAAAAGCATGTTTTTCTCTTCTTTATTTTTGTTTTGAGAGATTACTTACCAAATAAACCAATGCACTTCAGAAAGTTGTATTTCTAGTATTCTGAAGTGTAGATGATAATCAGTTTTTGGCCTAGATTGCACTTCCTTTCCCTAATTTGTCTTATCTCATGCTATCTCAAAAGTTTGGTTCCCCAGGTACTGTATAAAGTAGTCATTATCCAACATAATTAATTTCTGTGGGCTTAAAAGTGTTGAGTTCTGTGTTGGATCATGTTGGCCAACAACTACTATGTAGTCTGAGACTTGTCATGTTATTATTATTACACCAAATAGCAGCTGGTGTGCTCTTTTTCAGGAACTAATTATTTCCCAGGGCATCTTAGTGTTTAATAATGGAGTTTCTAACATAAGCTATACTAGTGTCTTACACTCAAAGCCATTGAAAGCATGGATGCCATAAGAACTGAGCATTTCTACCACCAATACAATTTAAAAATATGCAACAAATTGCCCTGGTCTTCTAAAATGTTGTTTCCATTTTTCAGGGCAGCATAACATCAGCAGACTTCTCTCTCTACAAGTGCTTTCTTCCATTTGAGATCACAGTTATTACTGTCTACTGTATAGCAGGAACTGTGCTTGTGGTCCTCATACTAGCTCGCTTTCAGCCTCATATTTCCCCTGTGCATTTTGTTCAGCGTTTAATCACAAAGTATAAAGCACTATGAAGCGTCGGACACCTGTAAATCAGTTACTGACACACCAAAGCTAAAGAACAGTCCATCAGACTACATTCATGCCAGCAAATGCGTACTTGAATTGCTAGCACAAGGGCATACAGTAAGTTCTAGACAGTTGATAAGAGTTTACTACAGGATAGTTAAATGAAGGCTTCATGCTGTACAAAAATATTGTATTCTACAATCAAATGAATCATTTTCTTGCTAAAGTCTTGTATCAAATATGTATATTAAAAGTTTGTAACTGTACACTATATTAAGTCCTAAAAGCCTCCTCTTGTGTCTGAACTAGTGTCCTATGCTGCTAGAGGCTCAGTCCTTCTAACTGGAAACAACTTTAAAGTGTTATTGCTGCATGACCATCTGGTGTGGTACTTCTGTTCCTTGATGTCAGCAATATACGATGTAGAGTTATTTTACAACAGTGTATCCCTCCCACCCCAAATTCTTGGGAAAAGTAGCTTACTAGCCTCAGCTAAATCAGTGTAATTTAGGTGTAAATAATTTACATTGATAGTCATGTGTCAGCAACATTAAGAAAAACTTGCTAACAGACGGATAGAATATTGGCAAACCTTGCAGAAAGCTGAGGTAAAGTTTCTTGAGCTGTTGAAATACAGTAGCTGAATGCAATGGATATATCGCATGGACATATGTCAAGAAGTCTGGCTGAAAATTTTCTGTGGAATAAGATGTCAGCTAATGCTCTTTCCCTCTGTATGGTTTATGTAGGGTTAACATTGGTATGCTGCAAATTGTATTACTTAGGTTCTTCTAAGGGAAATGGTTCTGGCCTGAGAACTTGAACCTCAGTCCTGCTAGGTCAAGGGCATTTTCGAATAATACACATACTGTATTTTGGAATGAAACTTATAGAGGCATACTAAACTTAAGCCACTGGAAGTCATCATGTTGAATTTCTCCACCTACTTATTGTCCTAGTAAATTAATGCTTAGGATATAGGTGAACCAATGTGAACGCTGTACAACCACCACGGGCAGTTGACTTTAGAACTTCAACTCTGTGACTGACTAACTCAAATAATATAGTCCATGTTGAATCATCCAAATTGCAAGAACAGGGGATATTATCACACTTTCCCCTCCCCAGATAATCTCCCATGTTTGAGTAGTCCACAAACTTTTTATTTATGGGAAGTAGGAAATATTCTGTGGTAGTGTCTTTCTAACTTTGTGCAAACATGCATGGTTTCCGTCAGTTAAATATTTTTAAATATGTTTAAATAGCTGTTTAAAGGTCAGTCCTAAAGGGACACTTAAAAAGATTATTAATGTGACTCCTCTGCAGAGTTGCAACCACATGTCTGCCCATATTTCAGGGAAAACACCCTGGGCTTCTATAAACAAAAAGCATGCTATCCTTATTTGGAAATTGACCAACATTTTTTTGGCTGAAAAAAAATCTGAATAATGCTTCAGATTTAAAGCAAAAATGCTGAGAATCCAGGTTATCATCTATAAAATTATGAAGTCTAACACTTCTAAATTTGTTATTGCAACTACAAATTTGATACTTTGTACAGGTTATTTTGGACACAGGAAACTATGTACTCTGACATAAAACCTATGTATAAAATATAAAGCAATCTTATAGTTATGGAAAAGGGCATGCCTTATTGCTACAGCAATTTTTGCTTTTACATTGTACTCTACCACAAGTTGTTTTTGAATGTCATTTGCATAAATTATTCAAGTTTGAGAAATAGTCAACACATCATGATTCTACAATATTTAAAATACAACCATTTTCTAAGGTCTCTTTATTAAGAGAAATAAAAATGTCATCTTGTAATTCTCTTAGGCCAGACACAAGGACTATACCTTTTCTTCTTGCAGTTTGCACAATGAAAGCAGCTGTTGCAACAAAGACTGAAGAGCCTTTATCTAATGGCGCTTTTACACATGTCAAAATCTGAGCCAATTGTGAAAGGTCTATGAATGACCAAAGAATTACCAAGCATACTTTAAAAAGAAAAGAAAGAAAAGCAAAGTAAAACCAGATCCTTGATTTCTATGAAAAACACCAGGTTGCAATTTGGATAACTTGAATCAATTTCAGAGTTTTAAAGCTGAGACTGAGAGAAAGGCATGTTGCTGCAACTACTGGTGGCAGCAATAATTTACTTGGAAAGTTAAATTTCTAACTTTGCATAATTTATAACTTCTTTATACTAAAGAGCATTTCTTTTTATATAAACCAGGAAAAACCCTAAACTCTACAGAGGTTTTTTTTTTACCTCCAGTGATGACTGAAGGTAAAGTTGACATCAAGCTGTACAGCGCAATCAAAAACATACTTACATCTTAGCTCATTTTACAGGTACAGCCATAATCAAGGCACAAAGATCTTCTACAAGTATTTTTTTCAATAAAATTGTACAAAATAATATTACACTTTACAGTCTGTACAATATAATAATAAACCAGCAGTAAAACAAAAAATATATATATATTATATACTGGGAGAAGACTGTTGTCCAAAAATGATCTAAATTAGTTCAATCGTTTCTGGACAGAAGAAACAATATATGTGAGGGTGGATTTTCTGCTTAGGTGCAATAGGCTGAAAAAGTAGCTCTAAATTCAAATGCCTGAGGTGTATAGACTCTTAGCTCCAGACCTGCAGAAAAATTGCTTCTCTTCCCTGTGCCTCAATATCTACTCTATTTCCTGTGCCAATAATGGCTTAGAAGAGGAGGTCACTCCATCAGTTGACCTGCAACTCAATTATGTTAAAAATCCTGACAGTGTAATAAATATTGTGATGCTGCTACATCTCGCATGTATACATCCTCAACAGTATTTCATAAACCTGAAACAAAGTGCATTATACTTCCCCCATCTATCAAGTACTCTTCAGTGTCATGGTAGAAAAGGAACCCACCCATGTTATAGGTGTCACCCAACTAGCAGATACTAGCCTGAACTAACAAACCCGCTGGAAAAAAATATTAGCAGGTTGTGCCCAATTACAAATAAAAAAATTAAAAATGCAACCAAATGTAAGGAAACAAGAGGTAGCCAAAGACCTTAGTGGAATGACAAAGAAGTGGCATTAAAAAAAAATAAAGCACACATATTGTCCCCAAAAGTATGAACTGGGTTGAAATGGTAATCAAAGTAAACAAACTGAGGAGGCAGATGTATCTATACAATATTTTCCTCTGCTTTATGTGAGGAAGTCTAGAAAGAAAAAGATTTTAAAACCACAGGCTCTAGGGTGTTTTCAATCACAATAGTTCATACTGGCGAAGATGCATTCTCTGAATGATGTCTCTACAGTCATTGAACACTCTGCGGATGTTTTCTGTGTCAACTGCACATGTAAAATGGGGGTAGCAGTAGTGCTTTCCATCTCCAGTTGCTGTGCTTATTCTCTGCAGAAAATTAAAATATATAAAAGATTACTTTTACTCAGATGGTAAAAACTATAGATTCCATCAGTCAGTTATCAAATCAATAAACAGAAGACTGATTTTCAGAACTGAAAAACTACTGTACACTGGATTCAATGCAAAATGCAGAAACTCCCCAAACAATCCTGGATTATGTTCATTAACCCTACATATGCATATGATTCCAAAAGGGTCAGAGGTAGTCTTTACAGCTTGGACTTGAAAAGAGTATTAGCCAAGGCAGGAAGTATATCATATTTTCTGGCCGGTGACATAGTTTTTTTTAAAAAAAACTGGAAAAGGCAATCAAAATATGTACTGATCGCTTTACCGCATTCTATGCAGTTTATCTTTTTACATCTAAAGGCTAAAAAATGCATAGGGAAATACAGACAGTTAGCTGCTGATAATCAAATACACAGGTCAATATTCTGAGAAAAAGAGCAGGTTCACTTGTGGGAGTGCATCTGGGGGCAATAGTCTTTTATAGACACAGCCATGGGCACCCTTAATATAGCTCACAGGACAAGAACAACAACACTTTTTGCATGACTTGCATTTGGAATGGATGAATGACCTGTTACACTCCCAGATCTGCAATTACTGGCAGAAGTATCAGTGCAACTAGCCAAGTTTAAAATTCATTAAAAACAAATAGCGTACAAAAAAGCCAAAGAGAAAGTCTTCCAAATTTGTACTTAAACAGAGAACATTTAGCAGCTCTTTCCCTCTCAGTGATATGAGAGAAAATATACTTTAAACAGAATGCAGAAGTCTTTCTAGCAAAACCAAAAGTGAGTTATGTCAAGGACCTAGTTTTGTAAGCTTGAAAAGCAAAAGGCAAAACACTTTGCAAAAAATTGTGAGATGATCTGGAGGCTAGAGCTTGGGGGTTAAGTTGCCTCCCTATGTTGTTTGATCAGGGGCCAATGCTCTGCATTTGTTTACCCTGGCCCCTATATAGAAAATGTGCTCTATAGCATTACAATTTAAGGTACATTTATGTTTTTTATTGGCTCTGGTAAGCATTGATACCACAGACACAGTGGCTGAAATCTTGTTGGCTTAGCAATAATTAGGCCCATTAATTCAGCAGGGATTTGGTCAGTTAACTCCATAGCTTCCAGTGATCCACTGGCCTACTCTAGTTGAGATTTGCTACACTAAGCAACATTTCAGCCAGTATATCATGAATATTTTTAAAGTAAGTTTGTTCTGAAAGATATCTGAAATAGTAAAAGTTAGAAAATAAACTGTTGCGTGGATGCTACTGATTTCCCAGTTTAAACAGCAGAAATTACTGTATCTCAGAATTAGTTACCCCAGAGCCTCAAATGGATCCAATGATAATTAACTGTCAGCAGTGCCTGTCAGATAACAATGAGATCTCTTCCTTCCCCAACCAAAATTGTATGTTAGAACTTAAGCTTGTCCCCCAAAAGATTTCCAGGACCATAACAGCATATTGCAACTAGGACATCCTTTCCCTCTGGCTGCAAATTGTTCACAAGGGTTTTGGATTTTTTTTTTTAAAATCACGCAACAATGTGTGCTGTGTAAACAGTATTTCAAAAAATTGGTTTAGGTGGTAATATGCTCTGATGACAAAAAATCTAACAATTAATATAGGTTGACAGTATAGTTCTTCAGATAGTATTAAGTGGATAAGTGTAATGGAAATCAGTAGCCCCATACTTCGAAGCTTGAAATTCCACTTCCATATGAGGGGAACTGAGTACTGGGCTGGGTGGGCACTGGGATGAGACAGGAAAAAGACTAGCATGGCAAAGAAAGATATGGTTTGGGGTTGGGTAAATAGAACTAGAACACTGGGATGGAAATAATGGGGTTTTAACCTGGGTGAAACTGGGTACTTCTGCTAATAAGCTGTTTTAAAGCTAGTGGTATTGAAAAAGGATAGTAAATTCTTTAATGACAACCGAATAACATAATCACCTTACACTAGAGTAATAGAGTAATTCTTATAGAAATGGGAAGCTAGTCATCTAAAAATAAATTAGCAGGCCAGGTTGCTAAACTGAAAAATGCAACTGGAAATGAAAAGAACTGTATTTGAGACATGCCCCTGCTGTTTGATCTAAGTTAGCTTGTCTAATCATCTGATGAAAAATAATACACCTTTTTACCTATGCTTATCTATTTTACTTAATTTGGACTGAAACAAGTTCCTTGGAATCAAATCAAAAGCTGACCTAAAATCAATAAAGCAGAGAGAAAGGGTCAAGAAATGTAGTATATTTCTTTGCCAGGTGTGCTAATACACAACTTTTCGAGATCCGTACTTCTCCGGCTGCAAAGTTTCACTTCGACTTGCAGCCAGAGAATCCACCGACGGACCAGAAGAGGGATGCTTTCCCTGCCTCCACCTTCCAGTCCGTAGGCCGCAGATCTGCCTCCGGATGCCTTCCAGGGCTTCTCTGCCGCCATGGGAGGCATCTGGGAGGTCCCCCCCCCACCGCCGATAGTGCTTCAGAGGCAGTATTGATGCGGTGGGGGACCTCCGAGAATCCTCCCATTATTTATTTATTCAACTTATATGCTGCCCATTCTACCCAAAGGTCTCTGGGTGGCTCACGGGGAAGGCCTCCGGAGGTTCCCCTCCCACCGATGCAGGCTTTCCCAGGGTGGACCGGGCCTACCAGAGAGGGCTTCCTTCGGTAGACCTGGTCTACTGCCTGCGGAAGCCTGGTAGAGCGGGCCTACCATGGGAGGGCTTCCCCCGGTAGGCTTCCCCTGGTAGGCCCAGTCTACCAGGCTTTCCCAGGCAATAGACTGGGCCTACTGGGGGAAGCCCTCCCCTGGTAGGCCCAGTCCACCCTGGGAAAACCTGCATTGGCAGGGACAGGGAAGCTCCGAGAGGCCTCTGGCAGCGGCGCCGAAGCCCTCGGGAGTCCTCCGGCAGCGGCGATGGCGGCTGCGGGGGACCCCTGGAAGGTTTCGAAAAGGTAAGGTTTGTAATTTTTAAAATTTATTTTAATTTTGTTTGTGTGTGTGGGTGTTTCTTGGGTGGGTTACGGATTAATGGGTTTTCAATGTATTCCTATGGGAAATGCATTTTCGACCTACGGACTTTTTGACCTAAGGACACCGTTCCAATACGGATTAATTCCATAGGTCGAGGGTCCACTGTATTTAACTAAGGCATGTTTCATGATGGTCACACAGCTATGTGGCCCAGCTCCTGAAATGGGTACAGCTAGTGCACTAGTTTTAACTGAACAGAACACACTCTCAGTCACTGCTGAGTATGGGGGATAGAACAGAACCATGGGAATACCATAAGTGTGGAACAGGTGTCCTCAACACCACCTTCTGAGCTTGCCACTCCAAAAATGACTATAGGAACTGTAAAACAGTGGCTCCAGATTTTAGAAATAGCACCTAGAAGGATACAATGCTTGATGCCACTTTTACCTGCCAGGAGGTCCAGCAGATCCAAAAGGGGCACACTCCCCATGTTTAGTTCCGAGATGAATAACCCATCAAGGTGACCAAAAGTTGCTCTTTCATATAATTACTGCATTTGAATATTATAGCAAAGGATTTTGTAGTAAAAATGGTTTAGGGATAGTAAATAAATAAATGTAGCCTCTGAAAAATGTTAACATATTACTTACTAAAAATTCATCCCGGATAAAAAACTTTGCTCTTGTAACTTTGGGATCTTCTCCTGCATCTGGTGTTGCTGTCATGAAAAAAAAAGTAAATGATTTATGATAAAAAACCTATTGTTTATTTTTCTACGAGAGAAAGATGTGCATAGTTAGAAACTCAAACAATGCATTTGTATTATTTGTTTTACAGCATGTTTCTGCTATTTACACCTTTAACAAATGGCATGTGAAGGTAAAACTACAGCATAATGTACATATATTACGTATACCTTGTTCAAACAAAACATACGTAGGGAGATTCCAGAGAACGGGCACTTCCATGAAAAACACATTATTTCTGCTGGTGCTCAGATGGAAGTGTGAAGTATGTTGCACAAATGTGCGAGAATCTACAGAGCTATAAGACCAAATGTTTTCTCAGCTAGGCATGCCACAAGTTGTTCAGAACTTTATACGTTAATTAAAAGAAACAAAACCCTTAACTCTGGCTCACTAGTTAGAGATGGGGTATTCATAAGAGTATCCCCGCACAGGTGGCTTTAATGAGGGTCCAGTCCCATGGAGCCGGACGATCCACTCACCAATCCGCCGTGGACGCAGACTGCGCAATTCTACCAATGGATCCGCAGTGCGCAATCTGCGCGCCAATCTTCGACCTTGCAGCAAAGCTTGTCCTTCTTCCTCCCGCCAGGATCCATTGGTAGAATCGCACTGTCTGCGTCTGCGGTGGATCGGTGAGTGGACTGTCCATTCCAATGGCACTGGACCCTCGTTAACGCCACCTGTGCGGGGATAGTTGGATACGAATATCCCCATCTCTCCTCACTAGCAATAAGGCAACCAGTACAGATTTTTCAATAACAATGTTGTATAATAGTGGGACCATGCACCTGCCAAAAAATCTTAATACTGTAGCTACATTCTGCACTAGATGTAGAGTTGAGAACACAAATAACGGAATCGCACAGAGGGCACATTACATTACTCAAGACATGAAGCCATCCTATATAGGTACAGAAGTACATTCAAAACCTATAAAAGCAAACCCTAAGTTGTAGGCAATAACCAAATCATATTCAATTCACAAATGCAGGAGTGTAAAAGCACAGTAGAAACTAGCTCTTTGCCCTGAAGTAACCTCTAGCTGACATTCAGTAGATTGCTGTTTAAATCTCCATTTTATGATCACATCTCACACAGGAATGCTGGAGCTGGAACACCAGCTGTAGCTCATAAAAGACAGTCCTTGTCACTATAGTTACTTGGGTCTCTAGAGACTGTGATAGCTTCCAGGTATCTGTGAGCTTGTCCACACTAGCATATACAGTAGATATATTCTATGGATCATTGAGGTCATGGTTTGGCTGGGCGGGGAGGGGAAGAGCCTGCATTCACTTGCATTTATATTTAGATTGAGCCATTCTTCCCGTTTAAGAGCTGCTGTGCATCTTTCTGGCCCAGTGGTAGGGCATGCAATCATTTTGGCACACTTGTTCAGACTGGGTGATAGCAGCCACCTCCTGCTGCAGATTCCAAGGGAGAGTTTTTCAGAGAGAAAGTGGAGGAGAACAAGGGGAGGGAAGCAGGGAAGGAGAAAGGGAAAGTAAGAAGACAGAATGACCCCCTTCTCTCTCTTCAGTCTTGCGGCTGCCTTTCACAGTCTGTCTCTCTCTCTCTCTCTCTTTGAAATAGGTGCTGTGTGACTTGGTCTTGCAAGGAGTGGGCTTTGTCAGCAGAACACAGTGTGTCTGTTTCTCCTCAGTGCTGATGGGGAGGGCGAGAGAAGGGTGTGAAGAGGGATAGGCAGACTTTCCTCAAATAAATAAATCTAGCTACTCAGGAGCCACCCCACCTCCACTGCTGCTGCTTTTCCTTTGGTGGCTTCCATTCCTTCATGCCCTCAGTTATCCAAGGCACTTGGTTTTATCTGAGGCTAGAATGGCACAGAGGGAGAGAGAAGCAACAGAAGGAAAAAAAAACCTTCCCCAGACCTTCTGCAGATGATTCAGGAAGCTCTTAAATTGACAGCTGATCAGGTTACATGATGTTGCTGTTTGGATAGGAGGAGGGTGCCAAATGGCACAGCACTCCTCACTCCCCCCCCCAACCTAATGAGACTGATCTACTCCACACCCAAAACATCAGTCTGTGGCACATTTATGGTTGATACTGCCAAAAAGGTAAGGTCACTCGTTTCGTGCATTAAAATTAATCTGATACACTTACTGCCCAGAGGTCCATAATTCTAAGTGAGAGAGGAGAGCAGTCAGAAAGGGGAATCTAACAGGTTAATCCTAGCATGTTATCAGAGAGAGTAGGCTACCTTGACATCCTAGCTCTCATGATGCGGAGAGATGAATATAGAAAGGAGAGTGGTGGATGCATGTGGAGTAACTCTATGCAGTCAGGTCCACTGATTATTCAGTGTACCAATTATGTGGGAAACCACCACATGTAGAAACCATTCTCTTTCTCAGATTCAGATTTCCGTATGCGAGAACAAGAATAGAAGAGAAAAGCTGGTCAGCTCTCTTTGCTTGTGCATTAGGATTTATCTTCAATTAATGAATAGCACTGGAGTCTATAATAGGATGGGTGTGGCTTAGTGGGCAGAGAACCAAATAGGACATGGGTTCCTAGATCGAGATTCTAGCTAATAGGAATGAGGCCAACTATGATTTCTACTGCCATTTCAACATTGTCTCCTGGCAACCCAAAGTGCATGAGTACAGCCAAGGAGTTGGGGCTAAATGTCACATATTGAACTAACTATCCAATTCGCCAGCTGCAGGTTTTAGCATAGCTTGTAATGAAATATATGTAGAAAAACTTATTTCTGTTTTGTATGTGTACATTTGCTTTCATACCTGTGCAAGAAAACATTTAAGGAATTTGTGCATGGCATATAAGCATTAAAAGACAGCAAAAATATTCTAGTTAGATAACTATGCAGTTAAGAAACTCACCATCTTCAGGTACAGTGTAACGTGCAAATTCGGGAAAATAATCTTCAATTCTAGACTTCCCTGCCAAAACTTTTTCAGCCAGCATATCTTGTTTGTTCAAGAACAAAATGATAGAAATGGTCCGTAGCCACCTGCAAAGACCCAAATATTAATACAGACTCATACAATGTCTAACATTCTGACCTCCTATAAGTAGCTAGCTCGTTTTTTTTCCTGGAGGCTCACAAAATAAGGCAGGAAAGCGATACCTGCCCCTTTTCATCAGCATTATTTTTTGGATTAAAGCACATAGAATTCTATAGCTGTCATGTAGTCCAAAAACAGCTTTTCCAACATTTGTCACAGACTATTGCCTGGGTGATTCTGGGGACTCTAGTTCAAAAATAACTTTTTTCCTAAGCTCTGCCTGGAAAATGGGCAGAGGTAGATATCACTTAGCTTGCATATCACTTTTCTGTTAATGTAGTCAATTCGTTTTCTTTTTAAAAAACACTTATCTTATGTAATTATAAGTGAATTTTGCAAGTGAATTATATATGTATGGTAGTTTGGTATGCTAACAAGAAGATATTGTATATCTACATTTACATTGGAAGGTATGTTTAAGCAGCACTTTATACTGAAGGCAGACCAATGTACAGTATGTTCTTCCATAGCTACTTTTACGTTAAACAAACCAGATCTAATGATTCTACTTTTCCTTACATGTGATCACAAACTGTAGACAAAGGTTTTCATATACTGCTCAGAAATTCATATCCCTGGTTTTTGCTCAGAATTTTGCTTGTAGCAGCAGATAGCCAGATGATCTGTTGTCTTCCTCATCTCCATGTGCTGCTACTTTCTCCAGTTAGGCTTGTCCCCTTCCCCTGAACCCCTTCGAAAGGCCACTGGAACAACCGGCCATGTCAGTAAAATAAGGTCTGGATTCAAAACTATTTCTTGCAGGACTGCCAAGGCCTCTTTCTGAACCATGCATAGCTTGCAACATCAATGCCTTCTGCTCTGTGGATGAGAATGTCATCATGTAGGTAAGAAGTAGTGCAAGAGCCTGCTTTGCTCATTCTCCTTCCAATAAGTTTTCCTTTTGTGCCATGTCTTTTAGCTTATAAGCCTGCAAGCAATAACTCCCTTAATATTGATCTGTGGTAGGCAGCTTTGGGGAGTGCCTGGGCTGCAGAAAGGGATATTTGAATACTTCAAATAAAGTAACTTAAAAAATCAAATAAATCCAGCATGAAGAAGAGTTCTAATTAGCTCTTTTGCTCATTACTTTTCATATTTTGTTCATCCTTAATTTTCCCCCCTCCTAATGGACTGACAAGGTTAACTATAAATATTGCCATTTAATCTATGGGGTGATAGGCAAACACTGGCATGCATGAAATTCAATTATAAAGCAAAGCATCCTGCCTTTGAATGGACTGACAGAGAGTCCTTGCCAGTGTAAATTCTGTGAATAAACTTCATTTCAGTAAAACAACACTAATAAATATTTTCTAATGTGGAAGAATTGGCATAAAAACCACACTCGGTAAAACAAATGGTTACACCTGCAATGTATTAGAATTGCATAGCATCAATTAGGGGAATAATTTTCAAAGAGAAAGACTGAAATAGAGGAGGGGGTTTCTCCACCCTCCCTTTTAATGTCACAATCCATGGATTATATAACACGATTGTCACCTCAGAAAACACTCTCCACAGCTCTATTTGGGTGTGAATTTACCAACCACACTTTCTACAGAATGGGACGATGTCGAGCACTTCCATTCACATCACATGAACTGCAGCCCTAACACTCTGCGAGAAAGGAGCAAGACAGCTTGTAGAAGAGGTGGGATGGATTGCTCTTATTGAAAATGCATGTGGTTGCCAAAAAATCGAGTGAACCAAATCATAGCAAAAACAAACGAAAGAGCAAGCTATATGCCCATCTGATCACCCTCTCAATTGTTTCCACTTGGCAATACTTAAGATATCTGGATTGGGAGCATACTGTTTACAATGATGTATTTGTATATTAGAACTGTATGTAACTACCTTTTCTCTAGTGAGGTTAAGACAGTGCACATGGTTCTCCTTCTCCCATTCTGTCCTGCTAACAACCCTGTGAGAAAAATCAGGCTGAGACAATGCAAGCAGTCCAAGGTCACTGAGGGAATTTTATGGCTGAGCAGGGACTAGAATCTAGATTTCTCAAGTTGCAGTCCAATATTTTATCAGTATCCATAATATATCTCCAACACCAGGCTTTTTTTGAAAGCACAAAACAATCAGAAACAAAATTCAGATATGTTTAAATTTTCCACAAAGTTTTTCTAAATGCTTAATGACATTTGTTAGTTTCATCAAACACATACAATTTCTTTCTGCATGGAAATCTACCTGTTGTTCCAGATGCTTTTGAAAAGGTCCAAAGACTCCCGTAATCTGTTGGTGTTGTTATCTTCTCTTATGACCATGTTGTAGCTGCTACAGGCCACAACGAAAATAATGGCCGTCACATCTGTGGGATATTATAATATGGACAAAATAAAGAGAAATCAAAAATTTAATCAAACAAATATATGCTGCACAAGTTATTACTGTAAATGCTTGAACATATTTTACAATAGCATTTATAATATTTATTTATTTATTTGGCTTTTATACCACCCATCTAGATAAATCTACTCTGGGCGGTTTACAGTCCAAAAAGCAACAGAATTAAAAACATCAATTAAAAAAACTAAAACAAGCAAACATAATCCAAGATGGAAAAACTAGGGGAAGAAATTAAGTAATATCAGGAGGGAAGGCCTGCCAGGTCTTCAGTTTATTTTAAAAAATTCCCAGCGAGGGAGCCAGGCGGATCTTAGGGGGAAGGATGTTCCAAAGGTGAAGTTGCCAGAATTATAGAGGCAAAATGATAAAAGATTTTCTAAAGCTAAGAAATTCAGCTCAATCTATATTTATATCCCGCCCAGAGTGGTTGAATAGACCAGATGAGCAGGATATAAAATAAATAAATAATCTATATAAGGCATATTTGCAATATACAGTGTTGCCTCGCAGGACTACGATTATGTGTCCTGGAAAAATCGCTGTTAAGCGAAATCGTCGTCATGCAAAAAACAATTCCCCATTGGAATGCATTGAAACCCATTTAATGCGTTCCAATGGGGAAATTACCTTGTTGTCCAGTGAAGATCGCCCATAGGGGAAGCCATTTTCCGAGTGCCGATCAGCTGTTAAAATGTCTGCCCTGCGAAGCATGGGGCTGGAAAACACAGGGCAGCCATTTTGCGGAGCCAGAAAAATTGTCATCTTGCAAACAAACGGTTTGCGAAGCATGGACCTAATCGACGTCCAATGGCATTTCCCCATAGGAATGACTGTTTTGTGAATTGCTATAGTGATCGCAAAAAGTCACCGTCCTGCGGATTCGTCGTACAGTGGGGTTGTTGTCTAGCGAGGTACCGCTGTAATGTAAAAGGAGATAAACAGCCTTGGAATAAACTTGTAATGCAAAAGTGTAACTTACCATTGAAACACTGTATCCATTTTCTTCTTTCGTCTCTCTGACCACCTACATCGAACATGCTATTGAAAAATCAGAAGGTGTTATTTTCATAAGTGCAAGGAAAATCATACTTTAGGTATTATGTGATGCTTCTTTCATAATTCCAGATGGAATTGCAGTAAATATTGCATGAAAGATAAGCAGAACATTCTTACTTTTTTATTTTTTATTTTTGGCAGTCACTCATATTCTTAAGGTTGCTGCAAAACCTTATATCCTATTACTGATGCTGTATTGCTGACCACACTAGGGAATTTAGCATTAACAGCTGCTGGGTCAGCTGAGTTCAGAATGCTCAGTTTGTAAAAAGGCAAAAACTCTGGCTGAGATTGCAAACTTACATACAAGTATGCCTCAGTCACTATATTCGGAACTTAACAAGAAAGTGCCAAAATGTATTGTTAAAAAGATAGCAATCCATTTCTTTAGCTATTCACAGAAATGATCTCTGAAATCCTCCAACACTCATCCAAGATGAAGAAGTTATTCAGGATTACTACACTTGTACAGGCTGGGACATGAGAACATTACAGGATATATGAACATCTCAAACAGATGAAAAGGTTAGGATTAGAGATGGGAGTATTGGTATTCGTATACGAATTCCCCCGCAAAGGTCGAGATAACGAGGGTCCGGCCCTATCCAATCACCAATATGCTAATGCTGCGAGGTACGTGCTGCTGTCCTATCGCTCTAGAGATTGCAGTTCCCGAGCCACCCCTGGCAGGAGGCGGGACGACAAGCCTCTCTGCCAGGTCGGAGAGTGGCTTGGCGATTTAGATCTCTGGAGTGATAAGACGGCAGTGCGGACCTCACGGCATTAGCGCATCAGTGAATGGACTGTCCCTCATTATCTCCACCCGTGCGGGGGTATTTGTATTCACATACAAATATGCTCATCTCTAGTTAGAATTAAATTCCCCACTTTGCCTCCTTGACAGGTGCTAGGACTCGATCCATACGGTCCCTTTAAGCTCTGTAGTTCTAAGATAATGATGATAATGATGATACGCTAATGTTAATTAGAATTCTGATTCTAGGACTTACATTTATTTTGTAGACAAAATTATGAAATTTGACTCCCCAATCTGGATGTGTCGTTACCACTAAGTCCAAAATACTTTCAGTCTTTAGCTTTCAGTATATAAAGACACAGAAATATTTCCCACTGTGCTTAGTTTAGTAAATTAATCAATGAGTCTTCATATTTTATAAACAACAGAGGTATGCAGATATGTGATTTTGGACTATGTTTGCATTGGGAATTCTGGGACTTGTAGACCAAAAACACAAATATACACACGTTTAATAAACAATAATTTAGAAGTACTTGATCAGTAAAGATTATGCTACTCTACACCTTTTCAGTTTTTCTCTTCCTTTGTGTCCTAAAAGGGCAAAAATACCTGAAAAACATAATTTTATAATTTTGAAAAGGCAGTTTAGTTGTTTCCACTGACTGGCCACAAAAGATAGATTATGATTACAGTACTTACTGAAAATTTACTTTATCTACTTGGAACCTTGTTTCAAAAATCCCAGATGTTAAAACTCTGCATCTTAAAAGATCCTGGAAACAAGAAACAAAATCAGTATATGACATTTTCCACTTTTAAAAGGCATGCAATTATACAACTGGATTATAATGCTACTTTTCAAGTAAAGATGAGACAGCCATCTGTCCAGGATGATATGAGGTCTCCTGATTTAGGCAGGGGGTTGGACTAGAAGACCTCCAAGGTTCCTCCCAACCCTACAATGATTCTATGTGAAATACCAACATTTCAGTCATTCAGGAAGAATGTGATCATTCTCCTATATGCTGAGATCACAGACATACTTTTGAAGACTTCTTAATTATTGAGGAACTATCCAATATAATTTAGCAAACTGTTCATCTCCCTTTCAGACAGTTTGAGAAGTGCCCAGTTTCTTCATATGTCACTCTCCCACAACACAAAAATTGAATGGCTATGAATTTATTTTAGGTACTATTGTGATACATGTCTCTCAGTAATAGGAGACTGATGGACACACAAAACAACAGTCGCAAGTCTTTGTGTTACCAGCACAGTACATTTTAAAAATTGTGGTTAGTAACTTATAATAGGAGACTGGATTAATTCATCCATTGCTCATCTAATACACGTTCCCCTCAAATAAATTGTATTTGACATTAAATAATTTATAACTTTGACTTTTAATTTATTACCAGTTGCTTCTGATTTTACTCACCTGATCTGTGGGTGTGTAGTCGGGCATACTGACACTGTCTATTCTTTCTAAAAAGCTGGGAGGGGAAAAGCATAACTGTTATGTACAGAAGATCTAATATTAAAACTACAACTGCCACCCAACCCCACTGACATTTTTTATACTACTCATGATCAAAGAATAGAAAAAGTTACTGTTGGAATAGGCAAGCATCGAAATCTGTAAGCAAACAGCCCTCTACCTGATACGTGCTGCAGGACAAATGCCAAGTATTGTATTTCTCTCTCCTTGCAACCAATCTGTCAAAATGTTCAAGTCAAGATTTTCTTGCAAAAGCCATTCGACCAAAATCCTGAGACTAACCATCCTCCCTATGACATATTCCTACCTTATTTCCAGATCAGAAAGTTACATGTTCACTTAGAGTTGTATTTTCACGAGCCAGGCAAGAGATACAGGGTATGGTACAAGAGTAAGGCAAGGGAGAAAAACTGAGACAGATCTGCTGGGGGAGATGTAAATGCTAGCAGGATTAGCCCTGAATCTGATTACAGTACCTGAATTTGAAAGGCAAATTGCCATAGCAACTACACAGGCTGCTTGCTTGGGAATAACTATTTGGCGAAAGGTTTAAAGAGGAGCGGGCCCAAAGGGGGAAGAAAGCTAGGAGGTTCCCCTGCTGTTGCTCAGCTACAGTAATCAGATATCTCCCCTCAAGTAACTGCTTACATTTTGAATATGCACTTTGATTTTACAGAAAAAACATAGAACATCGGAGTCGTCATAATTTGGAGTGGTGCCTGGATATATAATGTTGTGAGTGCCTTGCACACATATTAGATAACACTTCTGACAATAGCAATAATGATAACACAGTCTTTTTATCCCTACCATGCTAAATTGTGACACAACTGATGTGAAAGAGTCAAACCAGTCAGCAATTCTTGATGTTCCAAGAATTTTCACTTTTAGCACTAATAGCAGCTGCAGGGAACTTAGATTTAGATCTGGGTTGTAATAATGCAGAAGGAGTTTTTAAACATTTCCAATTGCACATTTGTCTGACATTAATGAACCTCACCAGAATGCTACTAGTTGCAGTGGAGAAACAGGACAGATATTCATACAGCATTCAGAGAAAAGATTTATCTCCCCCTCTCCTGCATCACAGACCTGATTCAAATGATTGCTGATCTCCCCCATACAATATTATATGTCAAAATCCAATGAAAATCACAAGGCAAAGACTGAAGATTTGTTCAAGGAAGGAAAGACACAGGACTTCCACTCTGCCTACAAACCGAACAGTTTTAGTTCCCATGAAAATCCTCTCCCTGCAGGAAGTATTTTCACGCACACGGTGAATTCCATGCTAGGTATCATTAAAAAGATTGAAAATAAAACAACCAACATTATAATGCCATTGACACTGGTAAGGCTCCACCTGGAGTATTGCGTACAGTTCTGGTCACCGTACCTCAAAAAAGACATTGTGGAATTGGAAAAGGTGCAGAAAAGAGCAACTAAAATGATTCCTGGGCTGGGGCACTTCTTTTATGAGGTGCTACCTGGGCTGGGGCACTTCTTTTATGAGGAAAGGCTACAGCACTTGGTGCTATTTAGTCTAGAGAAAAGGCTCCTGAGGGGGGACACGATTGAGACGTACAAAATTATGCAAGGGATAAAGTGGATAGCTCCTTTCCCTCTCACACAATAACAGAACCGGGGAACATCCACTCAAATCAAGTGTTGGGAGAGTGAGAATAGACTAAAGAAAATATTTCTTTACCTAGCGTGTTGTTAGTCTGTGGAACTGCTTGCCACAGGATGTGATGATGGCATCTGGCCTAGATGCCTTTAAAAGATGATTAGACGGGTACCTGGAGGAAAAGTCCATCACATGTTACAAGCCATGATGGGGATGTATAATCTCCAGGCTTAAAAGGAAGGTACCTCAAAATGCCAGATGCAGGAGAGGGGTATCAGGAGACAGGTACCTAGTTGTCTCGTGTGCTCCCAGAGGTATCTGGTGGGGCCACTATGAGATACAGGTAAATGGATTAGATGGGCCCTTGGCCTGATCTAGCAGGGCCCTTATGTTTTTAAGTGCTGATCTGAGTATGCCAGGTTGACTTAGAGCTAAAGTTTCCTTATTTTTAACAATTATACACTATCCTAATGTTCTAGTTCAATGGTTCCCAACCTTGGGTTTTTGTGGGCTGCAATTCCCAGAAGCCTTCACCACCAGCTGTGATTATCTGGGGTTTCTGGGAGCTGCAGTCCAAGAACACCTGGAATACTCAAGATTGTACAGTTGTACAGGCCAAAATCCTGTTGTGAAGCTCCACCTGTGCAACATGAATTACAGTACTGGCAGCAGAAGAGTGCCGCGGATTTAAAGCTTCCCTTTAAAAGCAATGCAGGCCCCAAAATTGCAAACAGTACAATAAAGTTTCATGCATTCCAAAATTGCAGAAAGGAGACTTCAATCAGCGGCAATCTGCTGCTGTCAATGATGTCATTCCTGTAGCACAGGCAGAGCTGCACAATAGGATTTTAGCCAATGTCTGATGAACTGCTAATCCTAACACATTAATTAGGTACAAGTATCTTCTCCATATATAGACTGGTGTTTTCTTATTTGGGGGTTGTGACAAAGTGTTTTCTGGTGGGTTGCAGGTCACCTTATATGTGTTGTAGCCCTTGGTAAATAATTTGTTCCCTGACCTTTCAGAGCAGGATATTAAAATTAGCATATATGTGTATGTATGAGAAACAGGCCCCTTGGAGGGAGAAAGAAGCTTGAGAAGGGACTATTTACCCCATTAAAAATGCCATTTTATGCAAACCTGGCAGGAGGGTTACAGGTTTCTTGGCTATTATACATAAGGGGGTCACAACTTGAAAAAGTTTGGGAACCACTGGTATAGACATATATGGCATGTACAGATATCTTCTCAGTACATAGGTATATGGCCACATCCTTGTGGCGCAGTGGTTAAAACGCTGTACTGCAGCTAAAACTGTGCTCACGACCTGGGGTTCAAATCCCAGGTAGCCGGCTCAAGGTTGACTCAGCCTTCCATCCTTCCGAGGTCGGTAAAATGAGTACCCAGCTTGCTGGGGGGGCAATGTGTAGCCTGTATAATTAAAATTGTAAACCGCCCGGAGAGTGCTTGTAGCGCTATGGGGCGGTATATATAAGTCCAATAAATAAATATGGCACCATTATAAAAATTCTCCATGTGTAGCAAATGTTTATGTGTCTTCTGAAACTGTGGCTGGAGCTATATATCTGTGATTTGTATGCGGATTCTAAATGATGCTTTCTGATCAAACATTCATTTCTGTAGTAATGGAAAAAATAGTTTAAATCAGTGGTTAACCTTGTGTTACTCAGGAGTTTTGGACTGCAACTCCCAGAAGCCTTCACCACCAGCTGTCCTGACTGGGGTTTCTGGGAGTTGTAGTTCAAAAGCATCCGAGTAACAAAGGTTAAGAACCACTGGTTTAAATAGTATGTTGACTCCCAAGATGTCCTGAACACAAACTTAAATCCATATAACTTTTTTGATAATTATTTCTGTAAGGTTAAATGAAGTAACATCTTTTATATTAAGCATGTACTTTTAGGAGCAATTCTTGTAGATTTCAATAGGATGCATGGATTACAGTCTTGAACAAATGCAAAAATAGTTAATATTCTATACTAACACACATTATTTTTCTGCTATCTCTAATCATGTTACTGCTCACAGTTGGTCTTTTGTTGTTGTTCAGTTGTGTCTGACTCTTCGTGACCCCATGGACCAGAGCACGCCAGGCCCTCCTGTCTTCCACTGCCTCCCGGAGTTGGGTCAAATTCATGTTGGTAGCTTTGATGACATTGTCCAACCATCTCATCCTCTGTCGTCCCCTTCTCCTCTTGCCCTCATACTTTCCCAACATCAGCGTCTTTTCCAGGGAGTCTTCTCTTCTCATAAGATGCCCAAAGTATTGGAGCCTCAGCTTCAGGATCTGTCCTTCCAATGAGCACTCAGGGTTGATTTCCTTCAAAATGGATAGGTTTGTTCTCCTTGCAGTCCAGGGGACTCTCAAGAGTCTCCTCCAGCACCACAATTCAAAAGCATCAACTCACTTCCATACATCACTACTGGAAAAACCATAGCTTTGACTATGCGGACCTTTGTCGACAAGGTGATGTCTCTGCTTTTTAAGATGCTGTCTAGGTTTGTCACTGCTTTCCTCCCAAGAAGCAGGCGTCTTTTAATTTAGTGGCTGTTGCCCCATCTGCAGGAATCATGGAGCCCAAGAAAGTAGAATCTGTCACTGTCTCTTCCCTTTCTATTTGCCAGGAGGTGATGGGACCAGTGGCCATGATCTTCATTTTTTTGATGTTGAGCTTCAGACCATTTTTTTTCACTCTCCTCTTTCACCCTCATTAAGAGGTTCTTTAATTTCTCCTCACTTTCTGCCATCAAAGTGGTGTCATCTGCATATCAGAGGTTGTTGATATTTCTTCCGGCAATCTTAATTCTGGTTTGGGATTCCTCCAATCCTGCCTTTTGCATCAGTTGTTCCACATCCAGCTCTATCTGTTGCTTCCTGTCCCACGTATAGATTTCTCAGGAGATAGATAAGGTTGCCAGGCACTTCCATTTTTTAAGGACTTGCCATAATTTGCTGTGGTCCACACAGTCAAAGGCTTTTTGCATAGTCAGTGAAGCAGAAGTAGATATTTTTCTGGAACTCTCTGACTTTCTCCATAATCCAGTGCATGTTAGCAATTTGGTCTCTAGTTCCTCTGCCCCTTCAAAATCCAGCTTGTACTTCTGGGAGTTCTCGGTCCACATACTGCTGAAGCCTGCCTTGCAGGATTTTGAGCACAACCTTGCTAGCATGTGAATTGACTGCAATTGTACAGTAGTTGGAGCATTCTTTGGCACTGTAAAGTTGGTCTTTACAGTACCACAATCCCTCCTCCTTCCCCCTTGTCTTGTTTTCTGCTTTCTGTCTTCTGTGTGAATGTTTACAAAATCAGATTATAATAGAACCGAACACTGAACACCAAACATA